AGTGAAAATCATTATGTGGGAAATAATTTCAATCTACTTGTACATGACAATGTTTGCAAAATCATATTTTTTTAGTATGACATAAACATAAGAGTCATACAGAACTTGATGTCCGCGTCAATAAAAAGCTTTGACATTCTTAATCATATCCTGCTTTTGTATTCTCATCCGTAAAATTTACAAGGAGGAGAGTGCAATAATAAAGAAAGTTAATGCCTCATCTTCCTCACGATATAAAAAGAAAATCAAAGTACTCAGAAGTACAGAGAGCCGAGCTCATTTACAGAGTAAAATGAATTTCTTACATGAACCATACGTTTATAATGTATTAACAGATAAATAACAAGAATATCAGATTAAAAATTCTGATGAAAAAATTATTTTAAAACTAGCAATATAAATTATTTAAGACACTGACAGTGAGTTTTCGATCCAAATACCACGGTCCGATTTTGTCAGAATCAAAATTAATCTGGTACTACGACTGAATGTAAACAAACAGGCCAGTCTGGTTCCCTCTCCTGTTTTTCCTCGTTAGTGTAGAGAACTACGATAACACTGATTATCAGAAATCCTTACGCTAATAAACTATGTTCTTTGACTTAAGACTGAAGTTCTCAAAGTCATTACTAATAATGTTTATTTATTTAGATAAAACTTCGTTTTATTTATGTTGCTTTATTTCGCGTTTGTATTATCTCAGAAGCGGTTGAGAGTAAGAACTATATTTTTACACGTAACTAAAAAATGGCGACTATGGGGTTGACATCCTGTCTTGAACAGGATGACATCAGCCGGCAATTGGTCTTTGAGCAATAAGCCCGGCTAAAAATCGGTTGAAAAAATGTGAAGCTAACGAACAGAGATCACTATTATAAATCCCCCAAATAATATATCGTTAACAGTGCAGCACGGAGCCTGATACTTCAAAAGTGGGATCTGAAGCCCAGGGGAAGAGAGCAACCCATGTCAACCAGTTACACGCGTCGAAAACCCTCTATATTGATCAGCTGAATAAAGTAATCTGTTGCAAAATATACGATCAAACATACCTTTAAAGTTACCGTTGTATTTGTAGACAAAGATCATCATAACGACCATAAAATATGCGAAATGCTGACTTTAAAGGTGTTGAAAGCCTGTAGCATGAACTCATTTTTATATTTTAAAAACAACGGACTAACGATCTGTTTGAGAAACATCAGCCAAAGTGCGTTCCAAGATATGTTGTTTTCTAGCAAGGTCATTATATCTACAATAGATTAGCGTAATAACATCATTTTTTTCTCTCAATAACCTGTCTCGGTTTTAATATTGATCTTATTCAGAGCATGCTCTATAATTAGCAGAACATCCAAAAATGAAACTTAAGGGGGTTGACCAGGGTTTCCATTGCCCAATACTTCGCGCATCATAGTAAAATGAGAGTACTAGTATTTACTGTTCTAAAGAGGTTTTTACATAATGAATAAAACTTCACAAAATTAAGAAATTATTGTATCTATTTAAAAGCATTTACGACTGGTATCATCCTGACCAAACAGAAGAATCAGCTAAAGCTTTCCTCAAGGAGTATCCATACGAACCAATGGACAATGGATCTCTGTTTTTGGTGCACCCGTACGGGAAGTACAGAGAAGACATCAGATACGTCATTTCCTGCAAGTAAGGAAGAAACATTCACGAAGCTGATACCTTATATGTTTTTAAACCAGATTTCACTTTTCTTGGTATTGGATGATTATATGAATATTAAAACTTTTAATGCCTTTTGACGGACCTTCCTGGGAAAATATGGTCCTATTCCAATATATACATAAATTATATAAGGTATCACTGTCTAGTTTTGGGGGGTATGCCAGGGCATCAACGATAGTTGGAAACGTGGGATAATTTACATCATTGTGGAAAAAAGTTGTAAATTTAGAGTCTATTTAGATTTGATTACACGCGGCCTCCCATGTCAGTTTCAATAGTCTCCGCCCACTGACGTCAGACACAAAGACAGATGCACCAGATTTATATGCTTACTTGGCTGCTGACATTTCGCTTGGTGAAATTTACATTCCGGTTGAATTATCAAGAAATCCACTAGAGCTACCATTGAGAGAACAAATATAGATGTGGAAAGATATACGTGCATTATTCAACTAGTGTTTTCTTACAGTGTTTTCCTATCTAGACATCTATCAGATTACTTTCCCCCTTAACATTTATTGGCTTTTGATTATCAAAAACAAGGAAGTTCCTAAAGAAACAGGATTTCCTCGTCTATATAAATATCCAAATATGGAAATTTATTTGAAGTTTTTCATATGTCATTTTATGATTTTAAATTGAAGGGGAGGAGAATATTTGACTTTTTTGCCAAATTACTTCAAGTAATAACATTTTTGTACATGTGAAAGGTCCCTTATAACCCAAATGATTAACAGTAAATAGCAATAATAAATATATCATAATTTTGCATTATATTCCATTGCTTTTAATATCAGTTCCCTCAATATTTGTAGATTTAAACATTAAAAAAGGAATTTAATTGCTTGTACAAAAGGTTATATAATTGATATGATTAAAGCATATGGAGATAACAAACAGTATTCAAGATCAAAAGTTCATAAAACAATACAAAATAGGAGCAGAACAAACACGGACCTCCAAAACATCAGAGGTGGGATCAGGTGCCATGGAGGAGTGAGCATCTCCTGCCGACATGTCACTCCCGCCGTGTGCTCCTTGTCATGATCTAGAAATAACGGAAAAATCCGTCGTCAATTCAGTGTATAAATAATGGACTGATAATTAGTATGAAAAACGTTAGTCAGCATTTGGCTCAATGATAAATTGTATTTGCTGACAAGGACATTGTTTCGACCATAGAACTTACGAAATGATGACTTTTAACGAGACTGCTGATATTCTTGTCTCATCGACTTGGTTGTCAATAATTTACCTCGTTTTAGAAATTATTCATACTTAAAGTATGCTTTTGCGTACCGAATCAACTGAGATATGTAAATTCCATGTGCAAATGATGATGGTATATTACTGCATAAGTAAGGGAAGTCTACGATAGAAATGAAGCTATGTTACTTAAAATAGTTTGGCTTTATTTTTCTATTGAGCAATGTGTTAACATCATAGATGGAAGATGGAAATATACCAGTACCGTGTTCGCTACAAAGAAGATGAAGATGTTTACACTGTACGTAGCGCCAAGGCTAGCAGTCTTCTGGACCTTGTAGAACAGTATCGTCTAACGGCTGTAGGGAAAGATGGCATCAGATCTATATATAGTAAGGAAACGGCGCTGTCCCATCTTCTCTACCCCATACCATGGCCCCGCAAGTACAAGGATCGGTAAGATACACGTTCATCTTATTTTAATTTTTTGTGTCAAGAAGAACGATCTCGTAAAGTTCCATAACTATGTATTAATGTTTTTCATAATCTGCTGCACAGTATTTGAATCACTATTAAAAAGAAAGTTCCTTCAACGCAAGCATTGTATTGTTCGTGCAAATGTTTCTTTCTTTTCTTGTTTTTTCTTGTTTTATTTCTTGCGTATTTGGATCTTTTTGTTTAAAATCCAGTATGTTAAACATTTGACAAAAATCAATCTTCTGCTATACTAAACAGAGTTACAAATGTATAATCATCTTAAGTGGAAGACTAAGTTCTACCAAAATATATACCAATATATACCAAAATATCAGTAATCCTTTCGTGATTAATTTGACAATTTACAAAATACTCTTCACTAGTTGTTACCATGGATTGCTTGGTCGTACCGATGCAGAAAGAGTTCTTATGGAGGGCTTCAAGAAAAGGAGTACCTACAGTCCTTTCCTGATCAGAGATAGTAATTCGGAACCAGGAACTTTGATTATATCGAGTATGTTTGTGAAAAAATCAGACAGCACGAACAGGTTCGAGCATAGGCTAGTCGAATTCAAGGTTGGTGAAAAATTAGTGGCCAGACAACAGCAACAGATATGCTGCATGAAGTGAATTGGTTAAAGACGTCTACATGCAATGTCGTTCATGATGTTTTAATATATTGTTCTTTTTTAAAACAAAGAGTATCAAAAATCATAAAATGGACTGTACCTTACCGTAATATAAAATAGAGAAAAGTTAACATAAATGTTCGATGACTTTTTTAAAAAAATTCAAACATATACGACGGTATAATTATGTACATGTATTTTACACCAATTTTCCAATACCATTTGGAAGTCTGTTGATACTCCAAGCACCGATATTTCCAAGCTCTGACAATTTGTTTTTCTTTTTTCCTGAATACATTTAGTTTGTTTCTTGTAGAATAATTTGTTCGAGGCTTTAGAGTGTAAGGAACCAAACCTGATGGCTCTTGCAAAAAGCATCGAGGAAAAGTACAGAAATCATGGAGACTTGATGGACCTCAAGGTAAAAAGACCACAGTACAAATCTTGAGATTTCTCCCTTCTACATTTACATTGCTAGTTAGCTTCATTTGTTTACTGTTCTTTGAAGGTTCTGAACAGAGAAGGATACAACGGTGTTGACACAGGTCAGTTAATAATACACAAAATACCCCGTATCTCTTTCATCCATAGGCTTTCCCCATCTAAAACATTCAGTAAATAATAAACTCTAGCCCTATACACAAGTTTACTGACACACATACCGAATATTTCCATATCGTATATCAATTGCATGAAAAAATAATGTATACATGATTAAAATGTCACCATTAACAGTTTATAAAAGTACAAAATGTTAATTAATCATTGATAAATAGATGTTTTGGAGCACCATCTTCCACCCAGCATTAAAACAATGGATGAAACAGCAATTAAAATATTTCGTGAAGCACTTGAGGAAGGGTTTGAAAACTATCATCATGTCCGTGTAATGGTTGTTGGTCATCATGGCGCGGGAAAATCAAGTCTCACTAGACGTCTGCTGCGAGAAAGCATGGAGGAGGTCCAAAGCACGGATGGAGTGGAGATCTACACCAAAAGAGGGCGCTTTCAGCTCAGTGACCACAAATGGATCAAGAGTGATGACAAACAAGGTGATTATACCATTGGCTTATTCTTTGTGCATCGCTGGATTTCTTTAGTAAATACTTCATATATTGAAGAGGTTGAAAAAAGCATTGTTTGGAAAATGACTTCTGATTTCGCGAATTGATTAATTGACATTTTTTGACAATTTGTCTCATACATGTATATATATCATGCACAAAACTTGTATGGTTTTGTTTTTTCTGAAGATAGGGAAAGATTTTACTAGGTTGTTTAATTATCAGCAGGATACTTAGTATTTCTTTGTGCTGTAAAATATGTGTGTGACATCCACGAAATTGTGCATGATACTTCTTCAAAGCTTACAAGTATCATAACTTACGGAACAATGACATTCATTAACTAAATTTATTCTTTTGCTGTAGAAAACGAAAACGAAAAACTAGAAAGAATAGCAAGGTACTTGACACAGAGATTTCCACAAGGTATTCCAACATATCTTTCAATAAGAGACTTCAAGAAAATGGAAACCGAAGAAGAAAAAACAAGTAATTACTCCAATGGATCAAATCTAGGAGGAAAACCACCTGCACCAAGTCGCAGTACTTTTATTGAAAAAGATGCAAGAACGCAACCCATGAACATTCAAAATAAATCAGGACGGTCCTATGATTATCCTCCAAACAGTCAAAGAACATCAGTACCCCATAGAAACCCCTCTCTAAAATCCCTAAGAGGAGAACCATCAAAGAGAACAGGTGATTATTTGACGCCGACTTCATCGCCCAAATCATACCCAGATCCACGTGTATCCGTAAGAAGGAGGAAGTCTTCCTCTAGCGACTCGGACGATGATGATGCTAGTGATGAAAATGATGACAGAAATTATAGTAATAACTTCACCAGGGTTCTTCTAGATCTTAAAAACAAATTTGTTAAATCAAATGAAAATTCCAATGCAATCCCTGTGTCGCCTGATGATATAAATGACAGTGACTATGTTGGAAATGAAAATGACAACACTGAAAAAAGATCGTCTTCCTTTGATTTTGATCTGGTTGGAAACGAACAGGCACTGAAGCAAGACCTGGAAGAGGTATAAATATTTTAGAATGGCTCTATTTTCTTTTTCATTTTTGGATGTTTTCAAGCTTTCATTGAAGTTATACCTCTATATAAAAGGTACTGCGCATGTCCTCCAAATTTCTTAAAAACGAAACGGGTTCCATCACATTCTGGGACTTTGCTGGACAGACGGTATTCCAAACAACTCATCAAGCCTTTATGTCCTCCAAGGCTGTTTACCTTCTGGTGACTGATGTATCACTGCCGATTGATCATGTGATCACAGATGATGACGACGGCCAGAATACGTCTGGGCATAAATCTGTAGGAGGTGAGTCTAGTTGACTATCGGTACTTGTATATATACTTGTATGTACATCTAAAGCACTTGTGAGTTATTATTAAAACTTGTAAGGCCATTATTTTCACACTGAGGGTATGTTTATTCCTCTATGGCACCTGATCCCATCTCTATTTCTAGAGGTCCTTGTTGGCTCTTCTCATAATTTTTTAAGTGGAATTTTAAAATGGTTGATTTTTGTTTCCTTCACATTTCATCTCTCAAGTATCTAGGACATTTCACGGTAGCTCAGTCTGTATATCACCTGCTTTGTGATCGAATGGTTGTTAGTTCGAATTTCGACCGCGACTGACCTAAGTCGGTAAAAATTGGAAAGCAATTTTCCTCGGCACTTTGAAATAAAAGTTGGGGGTCCTTCAGATGAGAACTTAACACCCGAGGTCAAAACAGAATCAGAAAACTGACACGGTAAAGATCCTGCACTTTTCAATGGCTCTTAGTGCCGAGTACAGGTCAAAATTCCAAGGCCTTCATTGGAATATGATGACATTTCTATATGAGTGAAATATCCTCTATATGAGTGAAATATCCTCGAATGGGATGTAAAACAACATACAATCTGATAACCAATCTCAAGCCTTTGGGAGGCAAATTACTAGAATGTGCTAGTTTGGACCCGCGGGTTCTGTTATTAAAGACACACGAATACAGTTGTCAAAATTTCAGCAGAAATCCCATTTTCTTCCAAATTGATGTAATTATTATATGTAGAAATTAAGCCCTTACTCTTTCTCACAATTCTTTCATTTTAATCTTGATAAAATGTTACGTTTCTTGTAAATATATGAAGTACTCAGTATGAATATTTTGAAGAAATATTGGGGAAAGGGTTGTATTTGCCATGGTATTGCACCTCATTTGTTTACAGTATCTCCCTAATAGAATTAGTATTATGCTTAAAGGGGATCGAGATAACTTATTTTCTTATATATATTTAGTCACAAAAAAGAGGACATGCAAATAGATTTTTTTTAATTGTTTCACTTAACATAAGACATTTGATTCCAGAATTTCTGAAATTTTGGTTAAATACTATTCATACGTATTGCCATGAATCACAAAGGGGGTCTCCAAAAGTTCTAGTCGTGTCAACACACAAAGACAAAACAACGGTAAGATTTTCAATGAACTTGTTAATGATTTTTTCTCATGAACCCAGTACTTCTATGTAATTATATCAAATGTGTCCATTAGAATACCCAAAAAGAAATTGAAGAACACCACAGGGAGATCAAGAGAGTGGTGAAGAAGAAAATGCTTTCCCCTCATCTGGTTCCTGAAATGTTTTGCGTGGACTGCAATGATACTGATGAGGAAACTTTCGACAAAATTCGATCCAAAATACTAGAAATCGCAAAAGACGAAGATATCCTGACACAAAAAATTCCTACCAGCTGGATCTATCTGGAGCGGAAAATCATGGATCTTCGAAAAGAGGGAAAGAAAGTTTTGAACTTCAAAGAAGTAAAACAGCTGAACCGATTTTGTACTTTAAATTTGAAGGATGAGAAAGCAATCAAAGTTTTCCTGCAATTCCATCATGCCATTGGAAATATGTTGTACTACGACGAAAAGGGTCTAGATGATATCATTATTTTAAATCCTCAATGGCTTGTGGATGCTTTTAAATGCTTCATCACCTCTGAAAAGTTTCTGGGATTGTCTCCTTCGGAATCGCTTCTCGAAGAAATGAAGAAAACTGGACATTTGAGTATGGAAATCATAGAAACATTATGGAGTGAGAGAGAAGACCAATCCTATTTGGAGAATAAAGAACATATCATCAAGATTCTGGAAAGGATGGATATTATCTCAAGACCTAAACGTTACATGAAAGACGGGGAGTCGAGCGAAGAAATGACAACATTTCTTGTACCATGCCTGATGAGTTTGGATTTATCTCCTCATGAAGAAATGAAAAAAACAGGACAAATGACTAACGAAAACATCGAAACAGTATGGATCGAAAGAGAAGACAAATCCTATTCAGGAAAAAATAAAGAGCAAGTAACTAAGATTCTTGAGAGAATGGATATTATCTCAAGACATAAACGCTATATGAAAGATGGGGAGTCAAGGCAAGAACTAGCTAAATTCCTTGTTCCTTCTATAACGGATTTAGATTCGCCCACGGTTAGAGCAAAATGGTTGAAGTCCACGAACAATATACCAGCCTTAGGATTTTACTTCAAAGATGAGTTCATGCCACCGGCTGTATTTTACCGTTTGTTGGCAGCGTGTATGGCTAAATTTCCAGCGGTAGAACAAAATGATGTTCCACTTGTTTTCGCCAACACTGCCGTCTTTCGACTGGATAAACTCAATTTTCTGCTACTTGCTCATGATGACTTTCTCATTCGGGCTTGGGTGCTGAGGTTTTCCAACACACCATTCAAGAAATCCTCGATCCACTACACCATTAAAAAGTTTTTGGAGGAGAGTCTAACCATTATTTTGGAGATATATACCAGCTGTAGTGCCTGCCCAGAGCACAAACTCACCAAAAGGTGTGAAGACTGTAGAAAATGCAATGCAAATTTTCCATTTAGAGTTGTGGTTCAGTGTAGTCAATGCATATCGTCTGACACAACCTTCAAAGGGCTTCACCTGTGGGGAGACCTAGAATCAAATGAAAGTGTGGTTTGTGCTGACCATGACAACGTTCATGTCATTGAGTCGGACGACATGCTTGCTTGCTGGGAGTGTCCCAATGTAAGTTTAAACCGCCGTCAATTTGTTAAATATAAAAGACATCTACTACATCAATGTTTCTTTCGCTTATGACATACTTAGTTCCAAGCTTCTTATGTATTTTAGTCGATGTCACTTTAAACCCCTTCACTATTCAAATGTACCTGCACAACTAGTTAATCATGATTATTTGATATATTGTTTTTGCAGACAATTCATGCAGACAATTTGACTTTATCTATAAAACGTAAGTAATACATGTATGAATTATCTATCTATAGCATCAGAAACTAAAAGAGGAATCAGTCACATCATTAGCAGATTAATACTCCCTTTTTTCTAGGATCAGTATCTGTTCTCGAAATGCCAATAAAGATGCCATATAAGACCCTAGGTCGTCTTGCCAGAAGAGTATCTGGCTACTGGGAGGAAATAGCTTATAACCTTGACCTTGGAGACAACTTCGTGGAGACAACCAAACGGAACTTTCCTCATCTAGCCTCGGATCAATGCTTTCACGTGTTGAGGACTTGGTATGACACTTCTCCAAAAGAGAAACGAATACTAAGGACGTTAGACGACGTGTTTGCAAAGGTCGACATTGATCGCGAAACTTTGCAAACGGTAAAAATTACGTGTGTTAGTTCCTTTAATCCTTTTGTCAAATTCAACAATGTTGAACTAGAGTGTAACTATATGTTACCGAATTTTTTTTGTTTCTTTATTGCAGTTAGAAGCAGAGGAACTTGAGTGGGAAAGTAAGTGTTAAGGTTTTTTCGCTAAAGATATCTAAGCATCTTATTTGCTGTCATATTGTAGCTCGGTAGAGTGCTCGCTCTATGATCGAAAGCCTGTGTACTCGAATCAAGGCTTCGACTGACCTACGTCGATAAAAAAAGTGGCCATTGTTCTTCCGCAAAGCACTCGGCACTTTCAAATGAAAGTTGCGGGTCATACCAAATGAGACCTTAAACACCGAGACGTCGTTTCACGGTAGGCGTCGGTACGATAAAAAAAAACTCTCAGGTCTAAATTTAAACTTTTCATCGGTATATGATGACTGCTGCAAATTTAGACATGTACTTGTGACTTGCGGCCTTTAAGAAGTGATTGACCTTTTTCGTGCCAACACTTTATCTGACACGTACGGAGCCTCGGTTTATACAGTTTCATCTAAAAGATCGGTCTACAAGACCCGCAGTTGGATTCGAACCCGCAGCGTTAAGATCATCTCCTTACATCGCGACTCTAATAGCGCCACGCTGTTGACTTAAAATTGGTTAACTTCAGTATCAGCTTTTGTGATCTGTTACAGCCTTTTTCCATGTTTTTCATCAGCCAGCAAATTAATGTGACCATCTTAATTGCGCGCTTTGGAGGCAACATACGCTATGCGATGATCCTTCTTGTGATTTTTATAAACATTAAATTTTAAATGGTCTCCAGAGTGCCTTTTTCCTTTGTTGTAAAAAGCTAAATAGTCATTTAAAAAGATAAATTGCACAAAGGTTTTTGTTTTTGGAGTCAATTTCGGTATGAATTTGTTTTCCAAATTTCTATCATATTTTGATTTTTTTTCGTTATACATGTACTAGTAGGCTCGAGATCAGGAAACGGATATGTGTATCATACTTCCAGATCATTCTCTTACAAGTATATTCTTGTACTCATATCAAACTACATCAGATATATCGTAAAAAGATCAGTTCTACATTTTACAGCTGTTTTAACCTCTTTTAAATTACAGATAACAAGTATCTGGACAAACAAGTTTCAAACCGAGGTATCGATATCATTTGCAACAGACTGGGTAAAAAGAGCTACCAACTTGCCATTGAGTTGGGGTTAACTCCCGAGGAAACCGAACGTATACAGATGGATTTTCGAACATCCATCGCTCAAAGCCGAGAGTATATCAACCGATGGCGCCAAAAAGCAGAGAATCCAACATACAAAGTTCTCCTTCAGGCTTTAGCAAGAGTCGATGTTGCTAATTATAGAGATGTACTGACACATATTTACTGAGCAGCTAGCTTATGTCCATGAATTTAACTCAATGTGTATTTTATAAATACGAGGGTTGTCCCGTAAAATCGTGGACAAAGCGTTTTTCTCGAAAAGTAATGGGCGCACTTAGCTGAAATTTTCAGTAAATGTTTATTCATCATATTTAAGTGCATCATTATGTTTTTGATAATATGCAGACAAAAATAAAGATTCTATTACGCTTGAATGTGCACAGGGTACGGTCCTACGGCGCACGGTGAAAATAACAAGGTTATATTAGAGAATACACAAGAATTAATTCGTAATAAAAGTTTTCAATACATAAGTTCAGAATGAAAATTACCATAATTCGATTCCTTAATCAATTTTGTCGTATTTATAAAAATTTCAAGGCATTTGGTTAATTTTTGGCAGATTCCCAAGCATTCGAAATGGGAAAGTGGTAAACACAATACACGAAAAATCGCGGTTATTGATGACGTTACGGCGCACCGGAGAGCAGTTCAGTTACTTTAGGATATGTAATGACACCTTAAGAGACTTTAAATGAATACAGGAGAAAGAAAATATGAAAATCACCAGATCTTCAGTATATAAATGAAATGGAAGTTTTCTTAGCCAAGTCTTTTTGATTGAGTCTCCAGGTAATATACGGACAAACCGCTATTGTAATAGCAAAAGACGCTGTCACTGTCGACCGTTGATAAGAGATTGTCTGTTAGTTGACTAATGGTGAGAATACTGTCCGTAAATTTATAATAAATCTTTATAAGATCGCATGTATGTGGCAGATTGCTATCTTAACTGTTTATAGACACTCACGTATGTGAATCAATGGAATTTCTACATTTAAGTTGGACTTATCCAGCTTTATTTTTAGCAAAGATGAAACATGGCGCTGTTTCAAACATTTTGACGTTATCATCCGTGCGCCGTAGGGCGATACAATGCATAACATAAAATCTAATAATTTGTTTATTTATGCATATATGGGTCATTTTCAAAAAAAGTCTACTTTTTTGTCTTTTGATCAGAAAAATAGGAAAAAAAATTTTTAGAGTGAAAGTTTTTTTCCCGTTGGTTAATATACATGGTCATACAGCTTAAAATTTATTTTATGATCATCTCCCAGGTGTTTTATAAAAAATATTCTATGCATTCCGAGTAAAATTTAACAGTAAAACCATGTCACATTAACAAAAATTTTATAACGTGCTTATTTAAATGATAGGGAAAATATTACCATGTGAAGATATGTACAAATTTTGCACCTCATATTAATTGAATTTATTTACAGATTAATTTAATATGATTGTTTTACTTATGATGCCCACTAAATACTAGTATTGTGCATTTAACATTCAGGAAGTGACATGTCCCTCCAGTTTATGTCATTCCTGTTACCAAAAAGAAAATGTTAAAATAAAAGTTATCTCACTTTCCTAGGAACTGTTTTCATGATCCACAATATATCATCATTTTCTGTTGTCTCAAGTTTATGCGCGCCATGATTTTAAAGTGAGTAAAGAAAGGGTTCAAAGGTCGATACGTTTGTCTTATTGGTAGAGTATAATTAAAATACGTCCTATCTGTTACCTTCTTAATATGCAAGTACTCTTTAAATTGTTTATTCTGCTAAAACAATTAGATTAACTAAGCTACAAAGAAATTGTTTCAATGTCTCGATGATGCAAAAAGAGTACGTTATACTAAATAACGGGTGATTTATGTGAATAATGTCCATCCTGTTACTGTCATTTCTGTTACCATTAATATGGTAACAGTAAGGAAAACTGGACTTCATATCTTGAGTTTTAACAATAAAAACAATTACTTTTATTTTTCTAAGTAATATAAGTTTAATAACACATGTTAAAAAACTTCGTAAATCATATTGAAATATGTTAGTGCTTCAAATAGTGCCATTTCTACTTTAACATGCACTCTTGTAACAGAATGGACAGAAATTGTAACAGGAGGGACAGATTATCCTGGTATTTATATACCGATTTAAGTTTTATCATTTCTTTTTCTTAAAATTATGAAAAATTCTTAGTTTTGCAACAGCATAGAGTACCTTTAATAAACAAAAATTGAAGTGATAAATATTTTATTAGCACTTTACAATTAAATTTCGTAACAGGATGGACATAAATGTCTTTTATTGTCTCGAATTTGCCAGATTTGACAAAATCATGTTTTTATTCTACATTTATTCCTCTTTTCCTAACCAATAAAGTTAAAAAAAGTCAATTTTTATTTCAAATGCAGATTTCATTGTCCATCCTGTTACACTGTTTTGTCCATCCTATTACTGTTTTGTCCTTCCTGTTACCTGAGTCCTTACTGTTACCAGTATATTTTCCTAGTTTAAATTGCTTTGGAAGAGCACCTGTTGAAATAACTTTCTGTAACTGTTTATTCTAATCACAAAAATAATGTACAAGAATGTTTTTTTCAACTATAGCATATAAATATTCAGCAATAAGGCTTTTCATGAAGAAAAACCCATGGATTTTGCTTCTGTTTGGTATATGGTAGTTTGACATGCTTTTAAACGCTCATATATAAGATGAATGTCAAACATCTTGGCATTCAATGATATTTTTTTCATTTTTTGACGATATACAAAAGATTATTAGATAAAAATTTTGAAATAGAGTTTTACAGCTCTTTTTATGAAAGTAACAGGAAGGACATTAAAATTTAAATGACTAAGATAAAATGTCAATATTTTTTAAAAGAAATATTTTCTTTTATGCAATGCAGTGGATTTTAGTAGTTTATTACTATATTATTCAAATAAAGTTGAAAAAATCATAGTAAAACCACTTTCATTTTTCAAAAATATGTCATTTAAAAAATAGACTTTTTTTGAAAATGGCCCATATCTAGTTGAAATTTGCTCTGTATATTCATAATATATGTACTAAAAAGTAGTGAAAATTTCAGAACGCAGTGATGATTATTTTTCAAACTAGACAACTTGTCCACGATTTTACGGGACAACCCTCGTACATGTATATACAGTATATTTTTTCGTTTTAATGTAAGAATAATTTGACATATTATCATACATATACTAAAAATTGCAGCTAACTTATGTAGTCCATGAATTTAACTCAATGTGTATTTTATAAATACATGTATATACAGTATATTTTTTCATTTTAATTTAAGAATAATTTGACATATTGTCATACATATACTAAAAATTATTACATATGCATGTGTATTAGAGGTCGGTAAATCTCTTAATAATTCCTCAAAAAAAAACCAAAACAATTCAGAACTTTAAATGTTGAAACAAACCATTGGCAAAATTTATTAACACAAGGTGTACTATAAGTAACTCCTGCTATTATAGAAATTTATGCAGTGAGTGCTTACTCTTTTTATGGATTTGATCCATCCTTGTGTTTTCAGTGGTTCACGTTTTTTGCTCTGTGACAATGTACATGTATTCCTGTAGTGTTTAAAAAGAATTGTGACTTCGATCAGTTCACTGTTCGTCATCGCCATTTTCATTTTAACTCATGGATCTCTGCAGGAGGATAGTCTGACTTCGAGGATACTGTATTCTGCTGTATTTATGTCGGTCAAAAGCTCTACAGAGCTTATGTTAATTGTTGTAAAACTCCGACTTTAAATAAAATTTTCTGATTCTGCATGGACATTGGCTGACATGTTGCTCAGTTAAAAAGGTGTCATTCTGTTGAGTCTGTATGGGACTACCAGATATATTTTTTTTTATAATTCCTTAATTTTTGGACTCATATGTGTTCTTTTTCTTAATGTTTTACAAAGATTTTTTAGATTTGTTATATATTGATGTCCAAATATTTTTGTAAACAGCACCTTTGCTGGATAAAATTTCCATACAAAAACAAAATACTTGACTTGTTTTTTTATGTTGTGTGGAATCAAATGCTGTTGGCTCGTTAATGTTGAGAAAGGCTGGGGTAACTGCAGAAAAGAATGTCGGAACAAAAGGTTTAAAATATACAATGGAGACCAACAACACAAATATCCTTTCAATGAAGTTTAATGAAAAAAGGACATAGAGAAAAAACAAAAATAACTCTTTAAAACCTTTCCAATTATGAACAGCAAATTTATTGTTAGTTAAATTGATCTGCAAGTATTATCCGCTTCAAGGTATTTCCATCCCCGTATGATGTCATAGGTTTTTGCAAAAACCGTTATTTATTTAAATTCATATCTAATAGAACAATATCTTTTGGAAGAATGCTTTCCAATATGTGTGATGATAAATATTGTTAAGTTAAAGGAATTTAAAACAGATGTATATTTTCTTTATTCAATCATTTATTCAATCTTCAAAGAAAAAGTTGAAAGGGCAATAACTCCTTCTAATGTGTCTTCATTCTTTCTTGTACTTCTACTGTAAAATAATTTACCTGATATTCAAAATTCAATAGATTCTTATAAGTAGCAAGTATTTTGGAACTTTCAGCATTAGTACTTTGCATTTGAACTAGTTTTTACATGATTTTTATAATACTGTTTACAAAAAATGTACGATTTTTTATGTTGACATATACCTCTGTTTATATATGTCTCCCATCTTAAATAATATGGCAACCTATCCTTTTTGCAATAATTAGTAAATTGAAACTATATTAAATGAAAACAAATATGAACCATTAAAATTGTGAGGGTGGAAAGACCTTAAGATTCAAGTTTGTTCTGATCACAGTCATGGAAATACATGTACTTGAAACTATAAAAGCGGATTTAGTTTGGAAGAAATCTTCTTTGAGTGGCAAGACAACACTAAATCATATAAAGCAAGACAAACCTAAAAGATCTATGGATTAATTTTAGCTTACCTGAGCCGAAGACTATAAGGTTTTCTGAACAAGATTTGTCCTTCTCCTGTCATCGTAAACATTTCACGTTTTTATCTTCTCCAGAATCAGTAGGCTTATTTCAACCAAACTTGACAGAGAGTATCCTTTGGTGAAGGGGACTGAAGTGTGTTCAAATAAAGGCCTATATGCCTTTTTAAGGGGAGATTCTAGTAATAAACACTATTAAGATTTTCGTGAAAATTAAATTATATTTTAAAATATATTCTTCTCAAGAACAACTTGATCAGGTGAGTTAATTTCTACGCAATCTTTTTTTTTCAGTAGATTTAAGTCTGTTGATCCCGGTGGTAAGCGTGGGCCAATATCATGAATATGGACGATAATATGAACATATGGACATGATATGATTTTTTTTTTTTACCCCATTACCCTTTCATTGAAGTTTGACCCACTTATTAAAGGTAAGAACATTGGTAATAACTTTTGAATGAGAGAAGATAAGACATTCATGCTTCATATTTATACATGTATATGAAGCATGCCCTATCTTCTCTCATTCAAAAGTATTCCATCAAGGATGCTTTCATTTTTTGCCCCAGTTTTACATCTTGGATGATACATTTATGGTCTCATTCTTTCATATATGTCTTTTAGTTCTTGTATTCTTTAATTGGAATGAAAAATACGTTTAAAATTAAAATTGGAATCAGATCTGCATGTTTTGAATTACACGAAACGCCATGCTGCCCAAGTTAGCCGACCAAACGTGCCTCTAATTTTGAAGATTTCACTTATGGAAATAGAACGTATAATTGAATTCTCACTATACAAATGTATAATCAATAGACCCCCACGTTAGTGAATATGTACAAGGAAAATATAAATATTAAATAAGCATCATTTGTACAAATGGAATTTCCTGTTATCTTACATAATCAAAACTTCCTGGATTAGAAACCATTGGTGCAATATCAATATGTATTTATTTTGCAATGCATTACTTGTTATTGAATTCATTTCCTTTTTTTCTTCTCTTTCTTATATCAAAGGTCGGGAAATCTGCATTCTGAACAGGTAAGAACTAATGCATGTAATAATAGTGTTAACTACATCGTAAATGTATATGAAAACAGCGATGGAAATCACAAACATATTGCTCTGTAAGTAAGTTGAAAGTAAAGCAGAGAACATCACAAGTTTGTTCAACTCTATAGATAATTGTTCAAGTAAGGGTGCAAATGTGGGCCCCAAATGTGTATATATATATATATATATAACATGCAATTATGCAATTCTAGCATGTATTAACATTTTTATGATGTAATATCCGGTAGTACATGCACATTATACTGATTGTACACACGAGGTTCGGCACTGAAATTATAAATTTAGAATATTTCTTTCAGAACGCTTACAGGGTCTGTCTCCTGTTGTACTAATTATTACAAAGACGAAGATGGAAACTGTAATTGTAAGGTTTTTATTTGTTTTTGCATACATTCACTATTCTTGTATGTTAAGCAGATAGTGTTTTTCTTCATAGTTATTTTTATCACTAGGTGATCAGCAGTTCTGTATTCATTTAGTTATTTAATGAAAATAGTTTTTTACCTTGTTTTTAATAATCCTGAATGCCTCTTTAAATTTTCGAAAAGTGTTATGAAGGAATCATTGTGGTTTTTATCATTTGTACAAGTCTTTTGGCAATCACTTGTCAAATGTTCTTATACATATCTTCATCTTTGCAAACTTACAAATTAAAAAAAAAACATGCACTGAATTAGAGAAGTTATGATTATAGTATGTGCGCCAGGATACTTTGGGGATACATGTTTCAATATTTGTCCACGTGGTACATTTGGTGCGGGCTGTGCAGAAAAGTGTACTTGTTCCCTCGAGGATTGTAACCACGTGACAGGGTGTACCCGTATAAACTTTACTGGAACCACATCCACGGTTGGAGGTATAAGTTGCATGTACGAAGCAGGCACGTGGCATCCTTTTTGTGGCCAACTTTTTCCAATACTAACTTTCTTTCACTTCCAATTTTTTTGGCATACAATACTACATTTCCTTGATATCACTTTACTGTGGTAAGAAGTGGGGGGCCAACCAACCTTTCAATGAACATTTTCAATAGTAAAGGTGGGAAAAAAGTGGGGGCGACCCCCCCCCCCCCCCGTTCCTACGTGCCTGCGTGGTCAATGTATTAATTAACATGTAAGGTGTATGAACAAAAATAATCTATACACCATATTAATTGTCTCTATTCTAACAGGCCATCAAGATTTGAGTAGATCACCACTGACGTTACCTGCAATATCATCACCTGGATCACCCATTTCTCAATCAGAGAATAATAAATCATCGACAAAAACACTAACCATAAAATATAATCCATCCAAAATTTACAGCACAATTTTGTATTCATCAAATTCACCAACAACGATCGTCTCTTCTGATGCTGAAGTCACGAATAGAACAGGACAGTTTAACAGCATTTTACTGTTTTTGGTGGGATTGGTGCTCGCGATTCTAATGATAGTTATCATTATACAACTCCGTTTGAGATCAAGACAAAAATCAAGAGGCGAAAGGGAAGAAAACAATGAAATAAACGGATTAACTGAATTAGCTAGTACTTCGCATAGATGCGATAATATATACACAATGCTCTAACCTCATTTAAGGGCGCCGCCATGTTTTGATCATTTGACTTGACGCTATTGAAGGTTTGCAGTAACTTTTACCATTTTTTCGTTAGTTTTGTTTAAATTAAAAATATTGGCGGAATGCTAATACAACTTTAAGACTCGTAAATATAAAGTAAACACTGCATTAAATAAAAGAGAAGAAAAATTCAAATTTGATTGATCTTTAATATCCATGATGAAAAGACAACAAAATGTCATTAGAAAACAATGGCTATTGAAAATTTACATAAAAATACAATGTACACAAACCCCTAAAGATGACCAACAACAAAACATAGTACATGTACTTTTAAAATTTAAACAGATGCTCATTTAAATGCAAAACAATAGTTTCATATATAAAGAAAGAGTAATACTGAAATAACACACAAGCACCAGGATGGGTTTATCTAGCCACATGATGATATTCCAATTTAATTTAACATGAAGTCAAAGGGTATAATAACAATGGTCAATGCTAGGAAGGAGTACAAGAAAGTGCAATTTTGAAAATGATACCTTCACTTTTGATGCTAAAAATAAAGATTCAAGCACATCTTTTAATCTCCTGACAAACAGGAACAAAATCCAATCAAGTACAAGTATTTCTCGATTTACTTTGTCAAACCAGCTTGAGTTTTGCATCAAAAAATTTAACAGATGTCACACAACTGATTTGGCTTAGTATTCACTACCATATTTTTCTTACCCTTCAGGATTTTTTAAAAAAAATTTAAATTAATGATTAGGAAAAATTTATGCACCATATGAATACAAATGTATGTAATGTAATTGATATATATCATGTATTGATTTTTCAGGCTATTTATTCCAAAAAAAATGGTTTTATCCAGCATGACAATCAAATGAATCTTATATGAAATATGTACAATGATGAAAATTATATTGTTTGTGTCTCTAAAGATCAAAAAAAAGCTGTCTTTTCTTTATTCTTATTGGAATTTACTAGAAGAACTATTTACTCGTATGGTGTAGAATTACAATACCCAAAAATATACTGATTGAAAAGAAGACCATACAGAACTTAAATGTGAAATAACATTTCATATGTGATGAAAATTAATGAAGAATGGCTGTAAAAATAATTAGGATTTCCAAAACAATGTTTTGTGCATCACTACATAAATTACAAACTTACCTAATTCAAAATATATGGGCAGTGTTTTTAGTGTTAAGAAGTGTTTTCAAAACTTGCAAAATGAATTCACATTAAGGAGCTTTAACAACACTGAGATTTTTAACAGAGACACTTGTAATTCACAATATGGCAAATGAAACATCAAACTAAACTTAACAGTACGTCCCTTTAAACAAAAGAAATATATTCCACAGAGATTTCAATAAAATAAATAATGCCATAAAAATTCAGCTTATTTGACAATAGACAGTTTATATATACATGTATATATATATATACTAAGTATAAAATCAATAAAGAAGGATGCGTTTTTCCACAGCTTTCCGACATATGGGACATTCCGCCATTCGATCCCCGCACATCTGACATGTGCCATGGCCACACAAGAAAATCATGTTCTTTAGACGATCCATACAAACTGGGCAGCTGGTCTAGAAACATGAAAACAAATGGTTTGATCAGAAATAAGTTTTACCAATTTTTCTATCTATAGTCCTTGTTTTCTTAAATTTTCCAAAAGAATTGTGTGCACAAAGCAAACCTCTATATCCCACTGTTTGGTATCCAGATAATAATTACAGAGTTGCAAATTGAACTAAAATTGAAAAGTGCTTTTGCAGCCAATATAACAGATAGATCCTTGCAATGACTTTCTTATAATAGAGCAAGAAAAATAAAATAAAATTCTAGTTCAGTCTGACATTTAAGATTCTTCCCCTCACAGACAAACAAACCAGCGTACCTGATCTTTGATGTCTTGTAATTGTTGCTGTAGCTTCTGAATGTCTTTTGTGTTGTCACGGGAACCATTGTTCATGATGCCCGGGGGCTGGGGAGCAGGAGGGGCTGTTAATAAAGAAAACATCATGTCAGTTAAACGAATGTTATGTTTAAAAGTACTCCAATATCATGAATGTTAAAAATATAATGAGACTATGTCTGTTACACAAATATCATGTCAGTTACATAAATATCATGTCATTTAACCATGACCAATTTAAACCTGGTAATTTAGTGCTTCAAATTTAATTTTATGTGAGGAAGTTATCTTTTCTTGTTGAAAAAAAAAATCAATTATCTTCAGATCTTGTATTTTGACAAGTTACACAGGAAATTTTATTACAAAAAAAAAAAAAAAAAAAAAAAAAATGTTGAAAAATAGATGACTGATTTGAGATGCAGACTAAAATGACTTACGTGTTCCCCCACAGCACACAATGAATGGCACAGTCTTCTCAATAGAGGATCTACATTGTACACACTTCTTCATCAACTGTCCGCAACCTGAAATCAGAAACAGGATCAGAACTGTGTTAACCATATTTATTCACTTCTTTCACTTGCTGATACATATAATGGCCATTAAATCATCCATGTATTTAGAAACACATTCTATAGAAAAATTTACTTGAAATGAATTTCTTCTCAGTTTTTAAGTGTCTCTTACAGTTGCTTCCCCTTATATGAAAAACCAAGTGAAACAAAAACTCCAAACTTACCGTCACAAGCACACATGTGACCACAGGGCAAGAAGAGAGTGGAGGCCTTCTTATCCGAGCAAACAACACACTCCTCAATCTGAAATTAAACCATCAAATTACAATCAGCCTCTTCATGGAAGGTTCAATCTTAATTAGACAATATATGACTATGATATAAAATAAATGAAGTATTAATTTTTTTTAAAAAAATTATTCTGACACAACACATATAATTTTCTTTCTTCACATTTTATTAGATTTATTAATCATGTTTTTTAATCTAACTTGTTAAATAACTTTTTCAAAATAACTTTTCAATATGCTAAAAAAAACACTTAATTCTTAACTATACGAACAATAAGTTACCTTAGTCCTAGACTGGACCTGTTCTTTACACATCAGACACTTTTTGACCCGCGGGGAGCACAGGGAACAAGTAGCGATGTGTCCACAGGGTCCAAACAGTGTGTCCCGCTTCAGGTCCGAGCACACCATGCATTCCTCCAGAGATTCCTGGTCGTTCCGTAGTATGACCGTGTTGGAGGCAGTGCCATTGGGACTGAAAATGAATTCAAATTGATTACAAAATAGAAAGAATTCTTATATAAAATAGATTAAATAGTTAACATTTTCATAACTGAAAAAATTGAATGCTCCTCAAAATGCAGTGTTAATCCCTAAACTTCCATTTTTATTTCTCCATTTTCACTCAGCTGATTTTTAAATAGAAAATATTTTTATGAAATTTCTTTATATATATCTGTGTATAGCAAAAATCCTATGGAGTATTTAATAAATACATAATTATACAACTAAACCGAACAAAATCAGACTTTCCATTTGACTTTTGGTGACCTTGGTGATCCATGACCTTTGTCTCACCATACATAACATAACCTCCCAGTTTGACCTTTGCAACCTTACCTGTGTCTCTCCTTGTGACATTTAGCCAGGGCTTTACACAGATTGGGATCCGGACACAGGTCCAGCGGTGTCTGTCCCTTCTTGTTCTTGATGTTCAGATCCGCTCCGTTGGCTGCCAGGAAGCATGCAATGGAAGCACTGGACTTCTTGTCAGCTCCGGGAGTCCCTAATCCCATTAAAAGCTAGGAAAAACACACAGGCGTTAGGTTACCAAATAACCTCACAAAAAAATGACACAACTGTGAAATGGAATTTTATCACATGGTGCACATACATTTAACCGATTTCTTTAGACTTGGTGATAAACTGAAAAGATTTCTAAGATTATAAATTCCCAACTCATAAAAAAAAATTAATGCATCAAAATGTATTTTCCCCATTATCAGACATGATGTCTGTATTAAGATATGTCATCATTATGGATCAAAGATAAGTTTCTTTTAATCATAAGTGCATTTTTTACTTGTCATTATTGAAAAATATATGCTAAAAGCAAATATCCCTTTTTTTATATATTTCTTGAAGGCCATACTCATTTCGTGTCATTCAGTGCTTCATGGGATACAAATACAGCTTTTGTTACCTCATATCCCCCCAACCCCAAATTAAAAAATTTAACAAAATTTCTTTACATTTTTGTCTGTCAAAAAAAATAGAATTCCCATACACACTGAAAAATTGAACATACCCGGTAGGACATGAAGGCTAAAATCAAACATGAAGCCTTCCAATGTGTAATTGTGCCTTTTTTTGTCTTACAAATGTAGCGCTTACTTTGCCGACATCCTGCATGTCCTGTAGCTGTCGGAGTTGTGACAGGGTGTGATGTCTGAGGGCCTCGTGTAGGGGCGTGTCTCCGTCCTTGTCTGGGATGTTCATATTACACCCCTCTCTCACCAACAACTAATCAAATAGATTTATCAATTTTTTATAGTGTGTAGAAAGGGAAAAAACTGAGAAAACATTTATGTGACTTTCTATTTTTTTTTTTACTTTCTTTATAATTGTACATGTACTCTTGTTTAATGAATACATAAAGACTGCTTTCTGTCAAAATTCAAAAGAATTTATTAAACACTGCATTTTTCTTGGTGAGTGAAGAAAAGCTAGTACATGTATAAGTGCCATTTCATTCAAACACAAGACTTTGGAAAATACATAATCATGTGTGGTGGTACTTTAGAAAATACATAATCATGTGTGGTGGTACATACCCTGACAATCTGTGTGTGTTGTCTCTCCACAGCTAGGTGTAAAGCTGTTTGAAGATTTACATTCTGAAGGTCCATGTTAGCCTTGCCCTGAAAAATATTGCCAAATGGTACAGAGACTGCCTTAGAGTTAGACAGGGAAATTTTCATCCTATTTTTATTTTTGTTTATTCATGCTCTTCACAAGTGGGTGAATTTAAAATGGGGGCCAATTCAAAGACAAGAAATATGTCTATTACAACTTCGTCTAGGGCAAAATTTAAAATGGTACAAAATCTTTAGCAAGTGAGATAAGGTCACAAAAAAATGGCAAAGTTAACCTGCTATACAGTAGTTCATATACTGCATTTTGACATACAGTCAAACCTATTATCTCAAACTGGACTGGGCCAAAAAAAACTTCGAGATATCCGAGTTTTGAGATATAGAATCAATCATGTAAACAGTTTGCACAATTTAATAAAGAATGAATTGTAACAACATACATGTTCTTTAATTTTACATATATTCAATTTGTTGGGTCAAAAGTTAATGGCATCAACCAATGAAAAGTCCTGTACTATAAAACATTGTACCTGGTGGACCAAGAGTTCAGCCACTTCCACATGGTTGTTGAGAGCGGCTAAGTGGAGAGCCGTATATCCGTCATCCTTCTTCTCATCCACAATCCAAGGTCGGGGGATCTTAGACAGGAGAATTCGCATAGCACTAAAAAAGAAAATGTAGACATGCAGATTATAGTTTTTTTTTCAATCAATTATAATCAATTATACAATTGCAATATTATGAGAGAGCATAAGACAGGAATATATAAAGATCTCTATCATGATATATATTTCTCAGTCAATCACACTACTTTTATAACTACAGCAAAACTCGGTTATAGCGATGTCACAGGGACCTATGAAATAACTTCACTATATTCGTAATTCATTATAACCATATAAGAAATTCATTATCTATATAGCTGAGGATCCAAGATGACTTCGCTATAACCGTAAATTTGCAATATCCGTGTTTGTACTAAACAAGTTTTGCTGTATTGGGGTATGCTTTTTCTGAATGAATAATAAAATTTTATTTTATAGATGAATTGTATTCATGCAGTCTTAAGACTTCAGCAGTAATACCTACATGACATAAAAAAAATTTGTTTACTTTCACATAACTTTGGTAGATTAGCTAACATATAAGGCATACTTTTGGTTTTGTTTGCAATCTGTTGTACACTAATTAGCAGCATAAATATCACTTCCAATGTCAAATTAGAGTGCAGAAGCCTACAATTAGACTTAATTATCCCTTCCCAAAAAAGCATCTGTGTGATATTTGTAGCCCACGATGCTTGTAAGGGATAATAATTACAGATAAGAAAAAAAGATCTATCTACAGGCTTATCTATATATCCTCACTTCAAACTGTTTCAAAAGTATTTTTCTCCATTCATGTGTGAGTGCAATTTATCAATGAGTCAGCCAGGCAGTGTGACCTACTGACCCCCATTGTGGTCTGTTCAGGATAACATTGTCCAGATTGACCTGGACGTTTACAAGGTCAACTGCCTCTGTACCCCTCAGTAATTAACCTTATACTCAACCTCAGTAACCTAGAGCTTTTCCATTGCATCTCAGGTCCCATCACAATATCTACCATTGTCCAGAAAGTATATGAAGAAAGTACGATAAGCCTCCTTTCAGTTTGTTAAAATATTTTTATACCCACAAAATCACTCCTCTCTCTCCCTGTGTAAAATATTTTTACATTAACAAAATCATTCATTTCCCCCAGTGAAAAATATTTTTTAACCCACAAAATCATTACCCCTGCCCCCCACTAAAACAATTTGATACTGATGACAGGCCTTCATGCATTTAATCCTCATCTGACCATCCGGTAAACTGTACCAATAACTATATAAAGAAACCATTTATGAGGCTGTGGAAACCTCAAAAGGGTGAAATTTCAGTCAGAGAAAGAGAGAGTAAGAGATAGATCTAGCTAGTTTTTGATATAAAAAGTTTTCTTATAAATCTGTTTTTGCAAGATACTAAAGATCCTTTTTTTTCCCTTGAAATTTAGATCTACACTTAAATATAACTGCTTTAATTATTATCATTTATCATATATAATGGTAAAGAAATTATTTTGAAAATGGCTTTGATAATAATGTCAGCTAAAATTGTGCAACTTCTACGGCTACATAAATTTTCCTTCAGATTTGTACAATTATTTGTACAAGTAATCATCTATTCCCACTGGTGGTTTAAATTTTTGACAATCATGTCTCAATTAAAAATCAGCGAAATCAACTGTTTAAAAATATCCTTCTTTTTATAAAAAGGAGAATGCCCTTCACATAAAAAAACCCCTAAAGATGCATAATCTTCTCCATTAAAATAGTGTAAATTTATTTCCCATGATAATACACGAGTAGTAGCACACAGTAGCAGCCAGCAGTGAACAGAAGTTTCTAAACAGACAGAAGATTTATCACTCCCCTAAATCTCAGATAGGCCCCCCTGCTTCCCCGTGTAAGCCACCAGACATTTCTAATTATGGCTCACAGCTTCAGCAGTGCTCTCTCAACAGAAGCAGACGGGCTTCTCATTCAAACTCCGAGAGAAGGAAAGAGAGAGAGAGGAAAAAAATGTTACTATGGAAACCATCTCTCTCTAGGCACAGTGATGTTACAATGTGGCCGACCTATATATTGATTTTGCTGTTGCATTCCAAGTAGTTTTTGTACTCATGGGGTAGTTTAGTTCCCCCCTTTCTAACCAAATAAAAAAAAATGCAGGCATCATAGAAAGGGCTCCTATTAATTACCCAAAAGGTCACCAGACTGCGGTTCTCATCACCTCACAAATTAAAATATGCCGAGTTGACAAAAATGAAGAATTAAGCTGACCCAGTAATGATTTTTTTTCTCTCTCTTCTCTCTCAGCTGTGTCATACAAATTGCAAAAGGCATTTTTTCGTCATCCCTAACTATAACGGACAGCAGACTGCACACAGGGTTTTTTCTTTTCTAATGACACACAGAAACCTGTTCTGGTTTCTGGTTTCCACAGTAACAAAGGAGGTAACCAATGGATGTAGGGCACCGTGTATCGGTAAGAAGTTACGACATATATATATATGTATAGAGTATTATGTAAAAACATTTCCGTAAAATTGAGACATTTTAGCCTTAGGAAGTCTTTTTGCCTACTGGATCAATAATTTTCCATAAATACTGTGCTCCGTTGTGTGAAGAGCTTTTATAGATTGGTTATCTTCAGATAATGTGCTTATTTTTCCGGTAATTTAATTTTCACTGTCCATTAAACTGTTGCTATTTGCAAAAAAAAAGAAGAGACAAACAAATATCTTGTTCCATTTCAAAAAAAAATTTAAACATCTCTATTTTGAAAAATAAAACAGTTAACCCATTGTATTATGTAATCAAATCATTCGTCGACAATAAGAAAAAAATATAGGAATCTGCATCACAAAAATGAAAGAAAATCATGCCCCTCTCACAGATGATTGATACGACCAAAATGAATACTTGTTATCCTTAATCAAATTGGTGGCACTAAATACCAGGGTAGTGATACGTCAAACCAATATTTAGCCAATGTTGAAGGACTTCCTCTGTTTCTATTGACCATTCTTCCTAATCAGACATTGTCTGCTATAGCTCTCCTTGCCAATACTCATCCCTCCCCTTCTCTCCATAACATGGCTTTCAAGTCTTCTGTTATTGATCTCTCTCATGGCTTTTAGTCAATTGGACTGCCAAAGGTATAATCAATGTTTATACTGGTCATCAAGTTACAGAGAAAATTCAAACTGTTTTCTTGTGACAGTGCCGACAAATGGTGGGGGGGATGATGCTCTGAAGAACAACCTTCCTTAGACTCAGGTGAGTAGCATTCTGGGGGGTCTATTTATAGGGACAGAGAAGTTATGTGTTACAGAGAGAGAAGAACTGAGAGATAATGAAAAATCCGATATTTAATGTCATTAATCTTTTTCGAGTGTTCTAGCTGTCATCAGCATTACTGGTGCCTCTAGAACAATTGATTCTGAATTTGATTTTTGTGTCAGAAATGAAGATGAAGATGTCAATCTTCCAGGCTCCTGTTTGCACAGACTTTGGACACTGGTAAACATTTAAAATGACAACCACTAAGCCCTATATTTATCTCTCCTAAGCATGTTAAGTGCTTACTTAAATAATTAATACACACTTTGCAGTAACAACCTTCTATTAGCATGGCAGAGCAGAAAATTAAGTTAATAATGAACATGTAAGTAATTCATGTTCACAGTCTTCTCATTTCATAGATTTAGTTTTATAGTTACAGAGTAGGGAAGAGTCATAACCACTATAATCATGAAGCCTATACAGCAGTATACAGCTGCGAGTTGCTGAATTTAATTTTTAGACACGGGTCTAAATCCATTGCAATTTACAATAGTATTTGAAATTACATATGCAGTAAATGACTTACCAGGTAATCTATCTCTAGAGATCTGTTTATCAATTATTCTACTCTTTTATGATGGACCATGAATGTTAATTAATGCAGAGTACAAAAGCTAATTTAATTAAATTTTATTTAATTTTTTTGCTAATTTGTGCATGAATGTTCTTAAAATATGATTTCATATACATTTTATAGAAATATATTGATGATGCTTCATGATTGTGACAAATAATCCTTGGTTTAACTTTACATTAAATTTTGAATATGCTAACACTTTTAGCTAAAGTACTTGCAGTTCAAATGCTTTTATCAATTCAACTGCAGCAAGATACAAATATATATTAACAAACTTTTCCATTTTTAAGCATAAGACATCCAAAAATTAAAATTCTGTCATGTTATATATATGAATTTAAGGTTCAAGCTCAATAATGAAAATTTTGTTATTTTCAATTTCAGCAACAGAATGAACAGATGCATTTCCTCAGTTCAGCATTATATAGATAGAACAGTTAGCTTCCATAGAAAGGATTTTAATACATCATTTTGTAGTCTATAGATAAATACTTAAAGCAATATGAGCTGCAACTTTGATGTCGGAATTTTTTGTTGCAAAATTGTAAATAACTATTTCAATGACAGAAAAAAGTAACGTTAATAAACATCTGTTGTTCGATTGAATCAAAATTACATTATTGTTGTCCTGTACAATACTAATTTTTTTTATGAAACTGTATATTGGATTGTATTAGAAGTCTTTCTTCTGCTTTATTTTAGTCTAATTCGTCATAGGTTTAAGTTACATACAAATTTATCATAATAACACAATTTAACAGCAAAATTAAAATTTTTTTTGAAATAGCAGCTCATATTGGTTTAAATAGAGTCACAAAAAGCGTAAGTATAGCAAATTTCAGTAAGATTGTTCAGGATCTGACAGAATATTACAGAAAATAAAACTTTAAAAATTCCACAGCATATCATATCCCAGAAAGATTCCCCACATCTTGGAATATGCTCGATCTCACGCTGAGAGAGATATCTCCAGAACAGAAGCAGATCACATGATAGGCTACAGTTTGTGTAGATATTACAGCCTCCACCTGCTCAAAGTTTATCCACTGGGGAGATGATCCCTAACAAACAGATTCCTCAGATGGGGAGATGATCCCTAACACACAGATTCCTCAAATCTTATCTTCCTCCAAAAAAAGCCTTTACAGTGAAGATTTA